GCATTCTTTCAATATAATAATCTCTTGGCGTTTTTAATAAATAAGAGTAATATAACATTTAGTAGGTACTTCAAAACCTTATATTTAGTATAAAGTAATTATAATATTAATTCTGTTTCTACTCCAGACCGAAAAGGTATTAAATTCAGGTTCCATTATTGCATCTGTATCCTATAAGTATGACCACATTTGTTAAAATTGATCGTAAAACAAATAAGATTGACTTTAGTTTATGAACGGTACGCTTAAAAATCGTTCGCTAAAATAATTTCTCTAAGAAGTGTTAAGCGGCCCAACATGGCTGATTAAATCTTCCTTTATAAATATAGCAAAACCTAGCCTAGAAAAGAACTAAAAATATCAACTAAAATTGGCTCCTAAATGCTTGGAAACTTTTTGTTTAGAAAATAATTTCTTCCAACCATTAGGAACATCTTAAGCAAAAGTACCAACTATATTTTCATATGAAGTTGTTGACCCCTAGGTTAGAAAGCTGAAAAGAATTAGGGACCGTTGTAATCCTAGCCTATAAAGGTGACAGCTGGATAATAATTAAGTAAGCACTTAAGCTCTTTACTACACGAGAACTACGGCAACGTATAAAATGAAAAAAAAGGGTGTAGTAAAAGTCCTTTGGTCACTCATTAAAATTCGACAACACCCGTATCACCTTATTAATTAGTGCTATGAGGTAACGAACTTTTACCACCTTTTTACAGAAGTGGACTAAAACATATTAGTATGGTCATAGTTTAAGAGCTGAAGATGTGAAACTCGAAAAGAAGAAAAATATAAATCTTAGCAACAAGTATTTTAAGGTAAGAATATAAATGATTAATAATTAGAACTTCTTGGAGAGTATCAATCTCGTCACTTTGGGCTTCAAAGTTGAAAAAAGATTCACCGCAATCTTGGCTAATTGAGTTGAGAATGGCATAACTTAACTTAAAAGAATCGAAAGTTGGAAGATACTAAAACTTAGTTCAAGGAAAACATTAACTTTTGTGAGGTTAGGTGAAGCTTAGATTTGAGGCTCTACGTTGCGATACTAAATGAGTTGAATAATTTTCTTGTTAGAGAATTATGGGAATTAAATTAATATTTGGTGTTGTAGTTGAACTTCTATACATAGTTCTTTTCAATAACTCTAGTCAGGGAGTGGCGCGCTTATATATATAGTACTAGTACTATAGTCTAACTATAGTACCAGTACTATACATATAACCGCGCTCTTTTGTGAGCATTTAGTTCTCTAGAAGTCTTGTATAAAACTAGCGAGCTCAAACGCTCAGTCGTTTCTTTACCAATCATTTAAGGCTCGGAAGCCTAGCTAAGAATGCGACCACGGCTGGGTAAAGATGCATTGCAGCGGTGCAAGTTGGGCTAGTGAAAGTAGCCCTACTGTGGACTAATCCCCATGTAGTCATTTTCTTAGTTTCGTAACTCTTCAATAAATCGATATTGCTTTTTGTGCCGTAGGCTAGACATAAAGTGGCAGTAAAAGATCTTTTCTATATGCATTTTGGTCTCTTATGGCTGGTATACCGGCGGCTTCCCATAAGCTTCGGTCTAAGGACGCTAACAGGATGCCATCCGGAGATGAAATAGGGTCCAAAGGCAGGCTTACCAAAGCTCGGGTCATGTCACTCTTCTTTATTCATTGGTATCAGTGGGTTCTGTCCTTAGGTCCAGATCGCTAGGGCTTCAGCTTCAGATGGCAATTAGTACCCGATTTTATACTTGAAACTCTTCTTACAAACAAAACCGAGAAATCGTGATTATGAAACCTTCCTTAGGTTAACTCTGGCCTCAGAGTTGTGATGCAGAAAGTTACATTTTCTGCAGCACGGATCGATAATTAATTTTTAATTAATATAAAACCTTTATGGTAGCCTTATCGTCAGCAGCACCCTTGAGCAGGTCTTTTTCGTCCATTGTCTTTTGTAGCTGTACTTCCATCCTAGCTACCACTTTCGCGTAGCATACTAGCGTTTCCTGATGGTGTCTTCTAACCTTAGAGCGGATTTAGACCCAGTAACCTCGAGTAAAACCTCGGTGAGACTGGCTAAGTTACTTTCATAAGAACACCGTAGGTGTGTAGCTAAGATTGTAAGCAACTGTTAACTTTGTTTTAGTAACCAGAGATGGCGATTAATATTATTTTAACCACATGTTTTTAGGTTTAAGTTTGTTGTAAACCTCATCGTTGAACCGGGGGCAGGCTACAACTTTACATTGTAAAAAAGGACCCCCTTGCTAGCGAGTTCGCTACCCGACTGAGATAAGCTTTTTTTAAATGTCTTATTTTCCAGTATATATATATATACTGCGCCTCTCCCCCACTTGGCTGTGGAAATAATGTTAAACCTTTTTGTAAAATCTAGATTTTTTATGGTTGGTCTCTTAAATTAGTAATAAACGTTGCCCATGTGACACCTTACATTAAAATTATTTAGTTAGGCAAAAGCCTTAATAAAAAAATTTATTTTTTAAATGCCTGTATTGGTTGATACTACCTTTATATGAGACCTAATTATAATTTAAAAGGAATACACCCTTACATGCTACTATGATAGGTTTCTCATAGTTGGTTTTAGGGCTTACAACTCAGTTGATTTGCACGCGAAACATCAAGCATGTTAACGAAAAAACCGAATTAAATATCAAGCTGATGCCGTATATACATATATATTGGAATGTCCTTAGATTGCATACCTTCCAAAAATTTCTTTTTAGTAAACTTTGCTTCCCCCTATTTTTAATGTTCAGAAAGGGCAAATTAGAAACGTTACAACAGTCATCGATAACGACACTATAAGACGCCATATTTTCTCTTATTTTGAAAAAATAATTTAGTATTCCCTCAAATTATAAAAAATTATCTAAAAAATATATTTTACATAACGCATTATGTAATACGTAAAACAACTACGTTGCTTTTTGTTCCTTACCTACCATAATCTTAAAAGTACCCAGCCAAAATAACTTTGTTTGACCTTACCACAAAAATCCTTAACTCAAGTTATAACTTGCGACATATACATATGTTATTCTAAATACGTTCGATCGGCATGAGTATGAGCCACTATTTCAACTTAACTAACTGAATAATATTCTAAAAACAAGTCTTCACAACTAAGTTAAAACCTTAAAAACTAACGCAACAGCTATAAAAAATATATTAACTTTTAAAATAAAGTTTAGTAGTCTATAAGCTCTACAGAAAAATGGAAGGTCTTCAACTTAGGCTGATAGACTAGTTAAGGAAATAAGCTAAGCTTAGACAGACGCCGTTGAGGATGAGATAAAAAGAGGTTAAAAAAACAATAAGTAATTAAATAAGTAAATTACTTAAAATACCTTTTACTATATAAAATGTTTTTTTACACCAAAGCAAAGGCAAAGAAACCAAACGCATCATAAACAAAAGATAATTACTAAACAAGGACGCAGTTTAATACAAACACCCAGGGCCCTCCACCGCTGTACAAATTCACATTTACCAAAATGATAAACTGTAAAATTTCTACAGGCAAAGCCATATAATGGCTTATACTTCGAAGCTATTTACTGTAAAGGCTTGAGTCAGATTATAAGTTATAGCAGGAACAATACACTAGGACTTTAAAAGTATTATTTACCTTTCGCTAAACTTTCAGTAGTAAACTGTACAGGGACGTTGTATTTAAAGAATGTATACACTAATTTCTCACTTACTGCGGAGGAAACTTTCGATACTTTTCAATAAAAAAAAATGTTTTCTTTGAGCTTTATTTTTCTTTGTAATTTTTTTACTTCTCAAGTTTACTCCTATACCGATTCTAAATGTAACTACAAAGCAAATTTTAAACTTTTTTCTTACTTAAAATTTTTCTAGTAACTCTATTGTAGGTATAATATTTTCTGTTTTACTAACTTTCCTATCAAAAAAACTTTTTTGTGCCATTAACTTTGCTTGTTTTGCTTGCTTCTATTTATTAAATATAATTAAGTTTTTTTATAATTTTCCTTTAACTCAAACGAGCTCACCAGGCCAAAAGCCTTGCTTTAAAATATTGTAAAGGGTTTAATCATCCGAAAGGAAGAAAGAAATTTTGTTTTTGGGATGTAAAAAAAATAAAGTTTTTAATAAATAATAAATAGTACTAAGGTTAAACACAAATAGAAATAGTAAGTACGAGCAGAAGGATAAGTAATTTTTATATACTGGCCAAAGAAAATCCAGAAAAAGGAATCTTCAGTAAGAAAAAGCACAAGCGTTGCCTTAACCTAAAGGTCTAGTAGCCTTATCATAGCGACTAGGTATAAGGATTTTCAAAGTTTTCCTTAATATGCCTAAGAAGGCACAAAAAAATTTTCTAGACAAAAATAACCTAAATAAAATAATTTCTTAAGCTAGTAAATCGCGCGTATTACAGCAAGAAATAAATTTCCAAATATAATAATAAAAAAGTAGCAAAATTAGATAATAATACACAAAGCGGTATAAAAATTAATAAGTTAAATTTTTATTTTATCATTAGTCAAAACTATAATAAACTAAATAACTGTACGCCTCTGACCAATTTAGTAAGTCTAAAAATATTAACCGTTGCTTAACGCTATTTAAAAATAATCCTACTCTGTTTATCTCCTTTAAAGCGCCGCAAAAGTATAGTGCCTTTAAATTTACTCTGTAATAAATAAAAGGTTCCCCGAATGCTTTATTGGATTTATTTTTCAGTGAGTTAAAATTAAATATACCCCTTTACTCTTTAAAAAAAGCGTGAAAAAGGTCAGAAACATAATAAAACGCATTAATAAAAACGAATATGATAATCTGCTAAAATAAAAATAAAAGTAGTAAGTTATAAATACTTTCAGTATTTTATTAAAACTAGTCATCCTCTCTTATTATAGTATAATTGCTAAAATTCAAGTTGCTGTTGATTACGTATCGATTATCACTTATTTAATATATACTAATGTAAACTAACACCACTGTAATAACCTTTTCAAAAGGGTTCATATGCTTCACTAGTAAAATTGAAAAAAAGTCCCTAAATTAAAATAAATAACTAAACAGTTCTTCTCCTAATTTAAAACATAACAAAAAGCAATAGAAGCAGAAAACCTTTTAAGAGAAAATCCCAAACAATAAAAAAAATTGTGGGTCCTAAAAAGAAGCAGGTTTTAACGATTTCTAGTGTACCCAGAAAGTTCAGTGCAAAGCGCTTAGCACGACCCTCTATAGCATTATCTAATATATAATAGGTAAGCTTCTTAGTGGAACCAAAAATTGGGTTACCGTCGCAAAAAGACGCTGTCTGTAAAAACTAAAACTTTCTCAACCTAATGCGTATTTTCCTTTAGTACTTATAGTCAAAATAAATAAGCTACATACAGAAAACTATCTAACTTAAAAAAAAAATTACGAAATGGCTTATGACTATTAACTAAACAGCTGATTAACTTACTGTATTGAGCTTCCTGGCCAAGTCATATAAATCAGGTCCCGCAAATAATTTTTATAAAATTTAAACTTAGAGTAAAAAATCAACGATACGAGGATAATGAAGCCGGCAAATGTAACAAAATTGAAATTTTTTTAAATAGAGTAAGTAGTTAAATGATGGAAACCAATTCGAGTCAAGCGATCAAAGAATGGTTTAAAATAAAAGAGGCCAAAAAAATAAATTTAAATTTTATTATGAGAAAGGCAGTCAACGTAAAAACTAATCATTAATACAGTTCAAGCAGAAATGACAAGAATAAATCATACTAAAAAAATGAAAATAATGCGCCGGAGCCCATAATTATAATAATGAAAATTATTAACTCCTTCTACTTCAGACAGATACTTTACAAGTCAAGAAAATTATGGACGAGAAGTCTTTTCCTTATTCTGCTTAAAGCTGACTTGCAAAAATTTATCGCCCACGCGGTAACCATTGAGTGACTGGACTGCCAATAAAGCGCGGTTATAGTCCTCCATGTTGACAAAGCCGTAGCCTTTGCACTGTTTGTTGTCATCGCGTATAACCTTGACGGAAGTAACGTGGCCAAAAGGAGAAAACAAATCATACAAAAACTTTTCATCTGCTTCTTTGCCAATGTTATAAACAAAAAGACACCATAAGGGGCCGGATCTGGTAGGCGGCAGTGGAATAGAGTACGCCTGAGGAGGAAGACCAAGCCCTCCAACGCTATTTGCAACACCTCCAATACCGCCTAAGCCACCGATCATACACATATTCTGTGGAATTGCTGGGTTTAAACCCATCTGGCCAAAAGGGCCGGGCGGCGTAAAAGGCTCAAAACCGTACATGCCCACCGGTGGCTGGTTAAAAGCAGGAACATTTGGTTTAACCATAACCCCGTAGGGGTTATAACGATTTCCAGTCATCATTGTGGCAGCCGCAGCCTTCTGTCGCCTTTGGGCCTTAAGAGCAAAGTCCTCCGCTATTTTAACTTTAATGCAGGAAGTGGCCCCAGAAGGCTGGTAGCCATTCATGGCTCGCAAGGCATGGTCCGCCTCACTTTTTAGGCCAAATCTTACGAAACCAATTCCCTTTTTTTCCTTTGTTTTGTGATCAACTAAAACTTTGCACTCGATAATGGTCCCAAAAGTAGAAAATAAGTTTTCCAGATTCTCTTTTTCAAAATTTTTTCGGTAAATTTTGGATATATAAGTTCGTATTTTTAATATCCTTTGAATTTTTACGAGCAAAACTAACTTTCAGTGTCTTGTCACGTATTTTCAAGCCAGTTAAATCATTAACAGCTTTAAGGGCTTCTTCATAATTAGACATCTTTATAAATCCATAACCCATCGACTCCTGTGTCTGTCTATTACGTATTATTTTTACAGCTTCAACTTTGCCACAAGGATCGAACAAAATTTTTAATTCTCCTTCAAGCATGTCACACGGCAGGTAATTAACTATTAAATTACTGTCACTGTTTTCTTGTCTTCCATCACTGGTAGTTTTAACCTCTGAGTCGGACATTCTTCTACTAGTTGCCCTACATAAATATACATGAGTTACCGGCTTGAAATTCAAAAGAAAATATAGATGTATTTTATAATAATCTTGAAGCTAAAATCCTAAAAAAAAGAAAGGAGGAGAGGGGGGGAAACGCCATAAAAATAAAAACAAAGTAAAGGTAAAAAGTCAAAAAAAAAAAGTAGAGAAAACTAAATAAGCGAAAGGAGAACCGAGACAAAATGCCGGGACGGAAAAAAAAGGGAAACCCGAGAAGAAGGGGCCTTACCTACGTATGCATTTATATAGGGTGCTGGCCCTCAAAAAAAAATTTTTAAGCGTGCTTACATTTCGCCTAAATATGGAACTCTGTATATTTTTAGTGTAAATATGCCTCACGTGGGCTTAGAGATTTTTTTATTATATGCCCTTTCCAATATTTGAACTTTACGTCAACCTACAAATTTCTTTTACTTAGTTAGAAAAGTTTTTATTTTGAAAAATTAAGAGTTTCTAGTTCTACCGACGAAGTCATAGTTAAATAAGTTGTAATAATAGTTATTATAGTTGTGGTATTACAAAACTAATAGAATTTGCACTAGTAATAAAGTTCTAAGTAGTGTTGCCACTTACTGAGATTTTTCTGAAAATAACAAATTGAAAAATTACGAAAGCTACCGAAATGGGAAAATCAAATCAAAACTTATTTTGTGTAGAAAGGAAGCGATGGAAGCCCTTCATATCCTTAAATTATTAATTAAAGAAAAAAGATGCTGGCGAGGAATGCAATAAAAAGTACTACTGACAAAAGTTTGTTTTCGGGTTGAAAACAAGTAACGATAGAAAAGTGAGTAGAATCAAAAACAGGTGTGACAATTAACGAAGTGAACCCCAACATTTTAAATTACCTGACACAGGACTGACTTGGAAAAAGTGTTTTTAAAAGTGAAATTGAAACCAGAAGAAAGTAACTCAGAATTTTTTGATAGATTTAACTCTTTGACTGAGCGCAGCCCACATTAGTAGTTATTGCTTTTCTGAGTTCATGGAATTAATCGATTCTAGAATGGCTTACCTGAAGCGAATCGTAGACCTTTTTAAAAGTAATAAGCTATTGCAAAAGTGCACTTTGGGTGATACCTGGATTTTAAAACACCTAGGAAAACTTGCAGATGCCCTCGCAGATAACCCAAAAGCTTCGGACGCAAATTTAAAAACAGGAGCATACTTTGAAGGCAAAGCCCATAATTACCCTAAAGTTAACGGTAAGGTTGACTCTTAAGCTCAAACAAGGCATGACCATAGGTTTAATAGCGCAGAGATGCAGAAAAACCTAGGCCATAGTGAGGAACTATTTTTTTTAAAAGTATGTCATTAATATGGGTAATTGGATAACGTTGGAAGGCATGCAAAACTAAGAACCCTAACTTACCGCACAAAATTAAAGTGCACCACATCCGAAAACTATCATTTAAAACCAACCGAGTTTTTTTTCTGGTACCCTACGATTCGAAAAACAATTACCTGACAATATCTGTAAGCGACGCAAAATTTTGGATTCCAGAACTAGTTGCCCTATACTTCGAGAGAAAAGCATGGTCCAGAACTTCAAACTTTTTTTTTTTTGAGAAAGAGAAATTTCATAATATTACGGAAACGGCACCTTTAAGGAGAGCTCCAATTATACCTGAACGCCCTTATAACCTTATTAGTGTTGGGAAATTTTGCAACTCTGAAAATTTATTATATTTGACAAAGCAAAGGCGATACTACTAACCAACCCCCATTGAATTATCTAAAGTAGTACCAGTTTTATGAACTAAAATAACTGTTAAAAGAAACAAAGCAGAATTGTACAACGTCGCCACAGAATTTGTGAATTATTAAGCCAGACCTAAGATGGAGTGGCACAGAATATTAGGCCATTTGGGGTAGAAAAGAAACTCCCCAAAATTTTTAAAAGCGCAAACTTGAAATACAGCAACAATCATATGGACCTTACGTACATTTTTTGCTTAGAGGCAAATTTTGAAAGATTAAAGTCAAAAGGGATAAAAATGGGATTACTTACTTTTAATTATTTGTGAAGAACTAGGTTTCGACTTACATGGGTTCATACCTTCCTTCGCTAATTAAGTCAGAATGAACTTTAACCATTGTGTGAAAACGCACTCGATTCGTTTGGGTTTCTTATTGAGATTTAAAGCTGAGGTCTACGCTAAAATGGGAGAATTTATTGATAACACTCTATGAAACCGATACGAAGTAAGCAGGATCCATTGTGATAATAACGGAAAATTCGCATCAAAGAATTGGATCCTTTTACGCAAGGTAAGATGCATTGGCCCCAGTTACGCAGCACCAGATACACCCTCGCACAAACCCATTGCAGAGAGGTTTAAAGGATTATTGAAGTTTATGACCAAGGCGATGCTAGAAGAGACGGGTTGGCTATTCATTTTTGGGCGGAAGCAATGAACTATGCTGCAAACTCCCTTAACATGACTTCACTTGTTTGGAAAGAATTTTATGGCGTAGATCCGAATATAAATGAGTTAAAAGTATATGGGTCTACGGTTACTATTATAACCCTAACCAGTTGAACTCTCATATCACCCCAGTAATGAAACATTGTTAGCACCAACTATAAACGTTTGTGGAAATTCTTATAGAATTTGTTTTATATCCATATGGTTAGTTAACTGCAGAAAATTTTAAAAAAGTTCCGAGTTTTAGAGAACAACTTACCAGGAAAACAGAAGCCCCGGACAGCACCCTATGAAAGCTAAACGGAAGAGGATGATTTTTAGCTACCAATGATGTGAGACCTGGAGGAATGGCTTAAACGCCCACCGGCAACAATAGGACTAATGAAGAGAGACGAAGGCTCTTTATTTAACTAATACAAGCAACGATTATGAGAACCAACTGGTTGAAGTGCAATTAGAAGTTAAGGAAAAACCGAAGTGGTTCACAGGAACTATAAATAAAGTCAAAAGAAACTGTTTGGTGTTACTTTTTGACGATGGAGAGGATTGTAATAATATCAAGTGGAAGAATTGAAATCTATCGCATTGTTAGTCGACGCTGGCATAACATCCCCCCCCCCCTAAGCAATGCATTCGAAGCATTAAAAGTTAAACATTGGCCCTCTGCTTTAAAAAGAGAACTTGAACCTTTAAGTTTTAGGAGTACATGGCAAATATTGGTTCACAAGGGAGGCGACTTAAAAGATACTATTTAGGCTTGTTGACGGAACTTTCTAGAGCGAGAATACGTTTCAAAGGTTTCATTTAAATACGCGGTTTAGACTATATTGAATAATAAACCCAGTGATAGACCTACTTGTCGTATTGGCACATATGAAACCTTCAACAAATTACATTTTAACTTTAATAATGCCTCCGCCATTGAAGACTTGAAGTGAACTAAAAGTCAAAATACCTTTAGGTTTCCGTTTAATGCATAACGGCAAATTAGAGGGCAGCTATCCACTGCTGAATAATGCGCTGTATAGAACGAAGCGAGTTGGGAAACTTTGGTTTAATCTCGTGAGAGAAAAGTTAAAATATACCGGATTTAAACAAACTGTCTTTTAACTATGCCTCTTTCATATCGCCGACTATCAGTTAAACGTGTATTTTGTTGTGTACGGCGAAGGCCTGAGGGTGTTTACGAATAATGCAGCCGAAACCTCAGCAGTAATAGAAAAAGAAACCAAAAAGCTAAGACATGAACAGTCTTACAACAATTATTAAAAAATTTTTTTTAAGCTAAAATATTTAAAGGATAAGAAGAATACGTGAATGCAGCACGCAAAGAACTTTTATTAAAAATAAAACACGACGGAGTTGCAACTGATGACATGGAAATAATTTTTACTAATAAAAAAATAATTACAACCACGTGGAGAAACATAAAATTTGACAAATTTGTAGATGCTTCGACATTAACAAACACCCAACCAGTTTCATTTGGGTAGCATATTTCACCAAACCTGACATTGTATACTCTACAACTATTTTGGGAAAGATTTCTACACAACAATGATAAATTCCATACGAACGCTGCTAAAAGTATTTCAGGTTAATTATATAGTACATCGGACAAATCTTTAAAAATTAACAACAAACGGCTAACGAATGAAAAAATAAATATAAATTGCTATGACGATGCGTCATGGGCTGATAATTACGACTATAGAACTACTACGGGTTATATAATCCTCATAAACAGCACTTCCGATTCATTGGTGATTCAAAATTGAGAAGGCTAAAGCACAAAAATCGTCATGTGCGGTTGAATACAGAGCAATGAGTATTGCTTTCAATGAAGAAATAAATAGCAATTGAAAACCCTTAATATAGAAATACTACTCGATACAAAGACAAAGTAATATATTACACTGACAATAAAGCAGTTAAAAATATTATTACACTCGACGCGTCTGACAAAAGGAGTCCTGTAGACATAGCACTTTATGTTAAAATCGAAATTAACTCGACAACTACACCAAAACTCATATATTAACAACCTTAAATAAGGCTTATATCATAACAAAACCTTAATTAAAACAAAAATACGAAATACAACTAATTAACATTTTAAATTGAGCTTTACTTTTAGCTAAGAAAATAAATTTATGAAGTTATAAGAAGAAATTATTCATAAATTTTATTTTAAAAAAATTTAATTAAGAAAAAAGGATTCTAATTGGTGAAATACTAATTTTGATTGGTTCTTCGAATCCGTTTACTATTCCCTTGTTTAAATTTTATTAAAATAAAAAAAGGGGATCAAGTTATTGCTTTCAATGTTTAAATTTTTCATCCCGTTCTGGTTTTTTATTGGTTTAACTGCTGGTACTGGTTAGTTTATTAACGAATTTTATTTCCTGCGTGTTTGTGTTGTTTTATTTCTGTAATTTTGTGTTTTTGAGTTGTCTGTCTACTCCGTTTCACGATCGTCTTTTATTGTATAAATAAATTTTATTATCTACTTTTTGCTGCATGGTAGTTGGGGTTTTGTTAAGTCATGGTGTGATAGTATGTTATATGAAATATCCTGTGTAATAAATTTTGTTTTGTTGATAGTTGTTTCTTGTTACAGGGAATCATTTCTAAGATATCGATGCTAACACCTTTATTTTCTCTAATCCGTTGCACATTTACGTAACTCCAGTTCACACGACCACTACATCCTTCAAAGTTTCCTTTTATAAATATTTACTTTCCACTTAGGTTCATCAAGGAAAAAGCTTTGG